GCAACGATGAATTTTGATGCAAAAAAGGTGATGAAAACGATGAACCAGTTTTTCTTCTAATTCATTTGTGCTGCTAATTTAAACACACATATATGCAAAGTTTATGCAACTTTCTAAAAAAAAAAATAAGAACAAATATAAATATAGTTTACTAAAAAAGATACTTCATTGCTGAAAACTACAACAAATTATACAATTATTTTCAGCATGATAATTGATATCTTTTGAACAAAAATAAATAAATAAATAAATAAGTGATACCTCTGGAAGGAAAAGGAGGAGAAATTAGAAAAAGCAAGAAATAAGAAGGAGCGAAAAGTAAAGAGGAATAATTTACAGAGAAAAACAGCATGTTCTATGCTAATTGATAGACTTCAATTATGAGGCAATTTTTTCTTGCCTTAACTCATCTATTTGGAGAAATTTTTTTATGATGGAGAGAGAAATTCTAATTTTATTTCCTTAAGAAAACATTTATTTGAAAAATTTACAGTCAAAATAAAACACATTTCCAGTCTGATCAAATTATGTGAAGAAGAGAAAAATCAAAAGCTATTATATTTTAGAAAATCATGCAAAGCTGGTTCAAAGACTTAATCTTAATTCTTTTGAAAAAATTCTACACATCTAAAGTGACAGGATAGGAAGCAGAAGTAAAAAATTAGAAACAAAAAATGAAGGCAAAAAATGGTCTGAGATAAGGCGCTGATGCATTAGGACAACTGTACGATATTGTTAGTTAAGTGTTAAAGCTCTCGAAGGATTCCGAATAATTAATCTGCATATATAATTCTTATATTGCAATAAAAACAATTGGAGTTAGAATTTTAAACCTTTCGAAGTCTCAAGACTTGTACAGAAGATGCAGAAAGTGTAATGACCTGAGAGAAATGAACTACCAAAGGTTTTAGACATCATTTTTGAAAATGAATAAGATTTAGAAAAGAGGTCTTGTGAAATTTGAAAGTCTGGAAAAATTTAAAGTTTCATATTGCAAACATTGTCCTTAGGAAGAAAGCAAAAAGCAGTAAAACTAGGAAGGTATAAAGCAGTCTTCAAAGATCAGTGATAATAGTAAAAAAATAATATACCAGTGATAACAAAAGTAAGGTAAATAATACAACATTAAGAACGGAAAGGCACAAAAGATCTAAGCAGTGCCTCACCAACAAAAGCATTGCATATAAACATTTAAGATAACTAAAAGACTATTTTACGAACTAGCATATCACTCCTCGAAATCAACATTCTGATCCAAGGAAACAATTAATCACAGTCATTATTAAATGATGAGCATAAATTGAGAAGATAGAAATAATCATTTTTAAAGCGCAAAAAAGTCATTTTTAAAGCAATAATTTGCATTTTCATACTTGAAATAAAAGTATCGAGCTACTTTATTAAGCGAGTTATTTGCAATAAGTCAAAACAACTTCTCTTCCTCAAAACCAGGAAATTAATGACTTTTCAAATAAATACAATTGAATTTTGAGTGGATAAAATCCCAGCTACGTGCACTGTTCCATAAGATTACATGAATTTGTGAATGGTTATGTTGATAAAACTAGTTTAGAAACAAGAATTTCGAAATTTTCTTAACATTTTTCGAACCAAACAAAAATGAAGTCAGAAACATATATGAAATTCACTATGAACGAAAATCCTTTTCAGTGTACTTAGATTTGTACTTAAAAGGATTCCAAAATTGATTACTATTTCTTTTCACTAAAGGCTAAATAATCAATGAGATACAAAATTCGGAATAACATTTTAATCATTGTCAGAGATTAAACTTGATTCGGTTTCCCCGTTGGTCTTGGTAGTGAAACAGCTCTTCTATCTGACTTTGGCGTTTCTGAGGTGGTTGTGCAACATGACAGTGCTAATACACCATTCATCAAATATCTTACACAAATAACTTCCCGACGAGCAAAACAGGTCATATAGATCCAGTCACCCTAAAAAAAACAAAAACCATATTTGTTTTTTTACACCATTTAATTTGATATTTTAAACATCATCCAGTACCCTGCAAAATGAATTCTGATATAAATAGTTTGCAAAAAGAGAACTGGATAAAAATTTTGAATGAAATTAAAAAAATGATCAACATACATGTGCAGTAATTCCAAGAGCCTCTTGGGGGCCCAATGGGCTAGGAATAACAATTTCTTTTAAGCGACGCATCCCTTTCGTATTGCCCAATAATGCCCATAAACGACTAGTAGCATAATCAAGTACCAACAAATTCCCAAGCTGAAGGAAATTAAGCATATATAATTTAGAAATATAAAGGTAACTAAAAACAAACAGTAACTTTATGTACTAACGATGATTGTAAAAATACTATTATATAGATAAATATGCAGATAAACAGATAAAAATATATTAACTTACTGAATCGACAATAGCACTGGCCGGATTTTTTATACACTCATAGAGTTTATATGTCTTCGTTAAGTCATATTCATTAATTAAGGTACCAGTATGGTCCGCAACGAAGAGTAATATACGGTTTTGTGCTGCATCACACGTTAATAGCACAACAGCTCTAAAAACAAATTCAATTGATAATTTTAACTAAAGAACCAAAAGCTTAAAGAATAGAATAGAGTGCAATGTTATTGGGATTTCTTTCTTAAGGCAGATCTACCATTTTGTCCAATTATCAATCAAATCAATATGAGTGCAATAAATTATATCAAATATATTTTATGTAAACAAAAATTTTGATATGTTCGATTAAAAAATTTCAAAGTAACCGAGAATCTTAGCAAGTTCCGAATCATTAGGATTTTTTAAAGTTTCTGCTTCTAGTAAAGAAATTCGAAAATAAACTTGTATTCGGCTTGATCTTCGGCCACTCGAAGATATTGATACCGAGTTTTTCTTGATTCCTTCAAGATCTTCCATCCCTCAAAAGAAAAATGAAAAGAATTTTGGCACTTTTTAAATTGGCCGGTAGATTTATATAGTTATTCAAAAAATTTCAAGCTGAATTCGTTGATTTTATTGCCGCAAAGGATTAGTCGAATTAAAAAATTCATTATATAAAAAAGCTAACCTTTCTCGATTGATTGTACATCCATATTGCTGAACGATGATTATCTCCGGAAACTGCAAATAATTCACCGCGTGGGCTAACTGTTATCCACCGCGTTCTACTCAACTCAATCTTTGGTTCTTTGGGACAAGGAATTACCTGCAAAGAAGGATTTATATCAAGTGCACGGAAAAATTTGGCTGTCAAAAAACTAAAAAATATAAATGATATCAGGACTTTTTCCAGGAAATTGAAGCTATGGAGAAAAAAGTTTACCTCTACTTTTTTAAAATGATTCGTAATATCAAACGCATGTATGCTTCGTCCTTTGCTATGCATTACGCTAACTAGAAGACGCCAACTTGTCGGATCAATAGTTAATGATGATGCCGAACTGTCTCGTGTTGGCAAATGTTGCAATATTTCTCCTTTACATGTCACTATATATACACCTGGAACGAAAAGTAGTATCGGAAACCTTAAAATGCAGTAGGAAAAATTGAAGATAAATATATAAATAACATTGAGGAAATATCATTAACCAGTCTCACAGTTTTTAAAATAATTCGAAGAGGAAAAACCAGAGTTCTGATGCGAGATTACTAGAATGGAATCAAAAAGTAAGCTTCCAAGTCAAAAAAAGTCTTCTTTCCATGTTTCAATGTGGTATGGCGGATGAGACAAATGAAATATGTCATAAACCTGAAAAATCTTTTGAAAATTCACCTCCACAACTATCGGAAACAGCGAGCAATTGTTTCTTGGTGAAAATATTGGGTAAAGAAATAATATCAATTGGTCGTGAAAAGAATCGTTCACCGAAACGCATGAAATTTGGCTCCGCTGACAAGTTTCCTAATGTAACAGTGGTTGACGTTGATAAATTACAACTGGATATCGTCTGCTCAAACAGTGGAGCTTGCAACTGTAAAGCAAAAAAAGGATATTCGGAAAAAAATTAAAATCTTTAAAAACTACAGATTGTACAAAAAGCGAAGTTCATACATTGCAAATATGATGTGGATTTTGTTACATTCAAAAACAAGACACTACTACTACTACTACTACTACTATATTGAACGTTGAAAAATTGCTAAAGGAATAGGAGGACATCTGCAAAGTTCATCTCTACTTTTCTTATATCAGTATCAAAAACTGAAATTTACGATATTTCATTTTCACAGCTTTCTCTCTTCTTCACAGATGTACATGCTTTCTTTTGTCCTTCAACTATAAAAAATACAATTAATTTATTACTGCTGCAATAAAGAAAAGATATACAGTTAATTTAAAGCAATGATAAGACTAACATCACGACTATCGTATGAGCTATCCGTCTGGCACACGGGGATGGAAGATGCTGCTGAAGGACTTGTCGAACTGAAAATATATTATAAAAAATCAAAATATATTACTAAAAAATTTCTGTTTCCAAAAGATATCAAAGTTATCTGATCTTCCGTTTTAGCAAGCCTTAAAGTATAGATAAAATGGATGAACAGAAATACTGAGAGTAATAATAAAAAAATGAAGAATAAACACACAAATAAGCAATATACATTACTTGAAAGTTTCTTCTTTCAAAGCGCAAGCTGAATCTGATTCATCTGTGAGCGAAGATTCTCGAAACGACTGCTGCCTCATTTCACGAACCTAAAATCCAAGAAAGAAAGAAATTTTAACAGCACATAGCAAATAAATAAACGAAGAAAACATATAAAAAATTTCACTGACAAAGAAAAATGAAATAAAGTAAAATAAAGTTAGCACATATATTGGTAAAGTTAAAAGTATGAAGGAAAGATGAGAAGAAATAAAAGAGAAACTAAAAAAATATATTGACTGAAGTGAAAAGAGCATGCAATAAGTAGATGAAATACTAAGTGAAATACAGAATGTGTAGAGATTCAAGTTTTTCAATTTTAAAACTTACGAAAACATTAGGTTCAAGCGGTATCTGTGTCCTGCTGTCTCCAGTAGACAGCTGTCCATCTGATATTTTATCAGGATTCGATTTTTCTCTAGCTAATTCATTGAACGGTCTTGAATTAATTGATGGATCATTTTTCGAGAGATTTGCAGGAGCATCCGGAGAAACAAGCGTTGGAAGAGAAGATGTTGCCCGTCCCAGTGTTAGAGATGCTGATTTCATCAGCGAAAAACTGAAGACAAAAAGTTTTGAATATTGCGACATTTGTGAAATAATTAAAATATGAATTACTATTTTTTCCAACTAAAAAGTAGAACTTCAAAAAATCTTAAACACTGTAGACTACCAATATTGTTCTCTTCTTTATTTCCTCAAAAGAATTTTTTTCATTTTTTTCTCTCTTTTACACAAATCTTTATTTTAGAAACAAATAAATTTTTGTCACATTATTTAACTCAGTAGGATAATGTAAGTTCTTGCTTACATTCCCGTTCATAATCGCATAACTTTAGACGTTAAATGAAAAGTTAATCCTTAGAGTTATACGATTTGAAGAGAACGATTGGAGAAAAAAGTGACCTCTATCTGATTGAAATCTAAATGAAATTTTGAAATTTCAGTTAAATATAGCTTAAACCGACAATTTAAAAAAAAACTATGTAACTAAAAAGGCTCATAACTAAAAGTTAGCATCTTGGAAAAAAAAAAGAATGTACCCATTTTTCATACTGCGGTAACTGCCAAAATGTCGTGCTCGCCGTTCAGATAACATATCTTCTACTACTTCTTGCTTCTCAATCAAGTATTTGGCACAGTCAGCAGCACTCCATGCCGATGGCAATGCAGCGCTAAATTTCACTTGACACGAATTTTGTTCCTAAAAAAAGTAAAGTTCCTGAGAAATTAAATTGCCATGCTTCCCAGTTCTTCTCTGTTTCATGCTTCACTTTTTTCCATTTAATAAGCATTTTTCTTCTAAAATTTTTAAACAACCTTTTCTAGTAAGAATAAAAGTCCAAAGAAAATTTTTCGAGACTCAAAATAACTCACATCTCCATTATCGCATATGATATTGGCCATATGGCAAACTTCAGAAACCAAACTCTTCAGACTAAAAAGATCTATTAATACACTGACAATATGAAGTCGAGTTTATTAATATGATGAATGAACTTAAATGATAAATTCTTAGCTTCCCAGTTGTTATTTTTTATAACTGATCTTGGACGACAAATTTAAATCCAAATGGAATGTTGTCCCGAAAACTTATTTGTTCATACTAATAGGGAATTGCAACCAACCGTTCAGGATCTGTGGTACACATTGTCCAAACTCGATGAGCTGGTCTAGTGGGCGAGAGCATATGATAAAGAGGTCGACTAAGTACTGACGAATTACTGTCTCCCAACTCGCATAAAACCTGAAGATTTGAGTACACTGTTCATTCCTTCTCTAGAATGAAGCCCATTTTTGGAAAGAATATAGATTACGAATGGTTCTAAAGAATAAATCTAATTACTTTTTAAGTAATAAGTTTATTTCATTATTTTTAAAGATAAATAAATATAAGAAAAAATCCTCTCTATTTTTTTCAACCAAATCTTCCGAAATATGACACTACGGGATTGCTGTAGTATTAAAATGGTATTGAAGGATTATCACATTTCACTATGGAAATAAAGGCCTTGTCAGTGTCAAATATAACGTGAATGTTCGATAGCGAACGTTTTCAGCTTTAAAGGAAGTCAGTATCCGCGTTTAAAAATGTGTCCCTAGCATACTATTGTCTTTCTTATTTTTTTAACAAACAAATGTTCATAAAAAGTGAACTGAATTATTCGAAATTTTAAGTAGCACATATAGAGATGTTTTACTCGTCACGATGAATACAGAAAACTTACCCGATGTATATTATAGTGTTAAGAAATAAATAAAAATTTTATGCCTCTAATTAGGAAATCTGCGAAAGAATCAGTTTTCTTTTAAGTTTCACTGATTAGTAATTTGAAATTTAAATTAGAAAGTAACTTGAAAAAGTTAACTTGTTACTAAAAAAAAACAATTAGTTGAGAGAGATAAATTTAAATGAAATGCAACAAACTCTGTTAAGTCTTGAAATAAGCAAACGATCCGGTTCATTCAGTTCCTCAAGACGTTTCCGAAGGAGATCAACCAAGTGGCATTCCAGCTAAAAAATTGAAACTAAATATCAGCTTTCTAAACAAAATAATTCCTAAATTTGTAGAAAAGAAACTCAAATAAAAAGCAAAAATAGTTGCTTTGAATGTTCCTTCGATGAGCAATTTTTTTACATCATTTCTTATTTTGCTTTATCAATAACGATGAGGAATATTAATGTTTTTTGATAACCAAGCATAGTTAATTTTGCAATAGAACTTTAAAATTTTTAGAGTGCTTGTAACATACTGTAACAATCCAAATTTCCCAAAGATCATTTGTTATTCAAAATTATTAAGTCTTTTCACATTTTCTTTCCATCTAGTTTGTTAACTTTGCATCTATTATTTTTTTACTGCTAGCGAAATATGCTTTGAACATTTGCAATTTTGCAAGAATTTTGCCTGCTGTTATACAATTTGAATCCTTCAATAGACTAATTATCATTCGACTCAGCAAAAAAATTATAAGACTAAACTGTCAGATTTTGATATTCTAACAAAAAAGTGATCTAGACAAGCTGAGAAATGATTTGCTAAATTCATCTAGATTAACTATTTAATCTAGCATTTTCAAAAATGAAGTGTAAACAAATATACCATCATTACCCACTAGAAATTTTGTGCAATAATATCTTAGAAAATGGTTACACGCACAGTAGCGGTAAATTCACGTATTTGCATTTCGAATTCTTTAGCAAGATTAGACCGCGTAGAGCATCTTCCTTCCAATGCCTGCATTGTTGAACGATACAGCTCTTGTCGATCCCATTTGCCACTCCGATGCTCCGTGTGTCCGTTCATCAAATGACAAACACTACAAAGAAAATACCATTTGGAATCAGATAGAATATCAATAATCATCAACTGAAATATACTGTATTCCCTTGATCCTAATTAAGAATCTTGTCAAATTATTCTGCAAAGTTTTTCTGCAATCATAACTGCAGTGTAGCAGTATGTCGATGGATAAACATATAGCTTTACTTCAATTACTAAACAAAATTCTATTGATTTAAAGAGAGAATAAGGTGTACTAACTTATCAAATTGATTATCATAACTGAAATAATATAGAAAATAAATTAGAATGAAATTTTGGTAAAATCCTCAAATCCTGGAAAGCGCTGAAATAAGATGAAGTCTAAAATTTCAGAATTTTTCTAATACTGCTTGGGAAATTTTTCCTTGAGAAAAAAACTTAGCATTGAGCAAAATTTTAAAAAGAAATATTTTAACACAACCGATTAGCTCGCTCCAAATGTCCTTTCTAATAATTGGGTTGCAAGTTTTTATTTTATTAAAAATATCTGACACTTCTTTTTCCTTTTCATATTCACTTTGGTTCTATTTCATCCCGATGAATTTGATGAACCTTATTCTTGCTTTGTTAATTTTTAGATTGAAATGTGAAACTACAACTTAGAGACCAAGTGCAAATTCTCAAGAGTAAATGGAAAGACACATAGACAAACGAAATAAATGAGAAGACGAAAGGATGAGAATAGTTGGCGATAAAAAACAAATATAATGGACAGTGATGAAAAATGCTTATTTGTTTTTTATAGACTAAAAAGCACCAAGGAATGTCGGACTATATAAGCCACGCTTTGAGCCATTTTTTTCCCTTCGATTCATGGACTCCATTTTTCCAGCTCATCTCCTCGAATATTAATAGCTGAGATATCAGATTTCAACTTTTCTCCTCACTTCTTTCATTTCATTATTCCGGTAACAAACCAGTCATCATCTCCGCCTTTATCATTGACGGTCATCAATTATTATCCGAAAAAATATTTTTTAGTTGAAATTCTCATCTCACATTAAAATTTTTTCTTTTTAATTGGTTTTAAATTTGTCCACAATCTTTATCTTTTCTACAACCGATCCTTCAATGCTCAATGCTTTTTTAGTCACCAAATAGGGAACACAGATTGTACTTGGAAATATAGTCAAGACACTAGCAAAAATCATTTCGTTTAATAAATTCGTTTTGTGACATGTCAATAATTTGGATAGTTCTTTGAAAATTAATTACATAGTACCTACTAAATTAGCCTAAGCCATAGTTGACTAGTTGTTGTCTCCATTCTACATACCAGCGAAATAACCAGGCCAGATATTGCGCATGAAAAGAACATTCAAATCAACGATGCCGTTTCCCATCTAAATTGAGATGCCTTCTCAAATAGATTTTGTTAGGCACCGTTTATGATGTACTAAAATATCCATGATTAGTGGAAACAAAACAATTTATCTATTCAATGGATCCCATAGGCGATCCATTGAATAGATAAATTGCTTTGTTTTTAATTTCAATATCATCGAAAAAAAAGATACTTGATTAAGTGATATCAATACAGTTAAGATAGTCTCAATAAAAGATGAAGGGTTAAAATTTGAACTCTAGCAAAAGAGATTTCGACTGGAAAAAAGATGGAAATTCCGCCAAATCATCATCTTTCTTAAAAATAAACGTGAAATGATTAAAATTACTCTTCCAAAAAAGGTGAGCGTTTTATAATAAAGATAATATAATGACAAGAGACAAAATTAACCAAAGTTTTTTTTTTCCTTAGACAACTTCAATGATAGCATTCTTCAGTAACATTTGCAATTCTGGCGCTTTCATTTTACATCCATAATGCATGATACTGCTTGACATATGCAATCAAAAAGATGGACATCACAATTCATTAACTTAACGAATTTCGTGAGCTGGACTGTTTTAACTTCAATTCAAATTATTACTTTCTCTTACCTTAATTTACAAGCTATTTTTCTTTCAATATGTATCCTGTACAACTTCGAATCTCTAACAGAATATGATTTGGATCCACAGCTAACATTTTGCCAGAAGTGCAATATTTTTACCAAGTTTAACAGAGCTACACATCAATATTGCTATGAAAGTAAGTTTTCTGAAAAATGACCCAAATATTCCATTGAATAAATTATTTCAGTTCAGCTTACAGCTCGAATATCGGAACTTCGCCTGCTGATGTTTTTTTTTTCTTTTTGTCTGTTAATTTCACCAGTACTTCAAATCTTGTAAATAAATAAAAAATAAAAAAGCTTCCAAAGAACAAACAATAAATTATTTGGCTCTACAAATTTATAATATCTTCTTTGGCTTCTTCCTCCTCGTCCTATACTTCTGCATGGTAGAAAATGGAATTTGATTTTAAAAGGCTTTATTATTATTAATTTATTTAAGCGACTGTTCAATGAAATTAAAAAGAATCTGTACTTTTGCCAACACATTTAAGAAAAGCATACAGATGTTTTCATTATGAATGAGAAGTGTGAAAAAGGCAAAGAGATATGGTTAGTGACAGCCGGGTATAAATGATCATTTTATGTGACGAGAGGCTCTCGATCCGCTTCTTCTCTCCTCTCAGCTAAAAATCTTATTCATTTTGAAATGTGGTTTAGGAAATGCTATTATTGCCATACTAATAATAGGCAAGTTGCGCTAATATTCCTTAAACCTTATGAGGTAATTTTTTATCCATTCTTCGTTAAACAAATAGAACAACGGAGAAGAATACTAACCAATAGAAGTGTCGAAAAAAGTAAGACATTCTATTTCATGCTTCTTCATTTCTACACAATTAAATCTATGTTTGAAGTGCAAAATTTAATCTAATCAATGTGTAAAAATAACAATTACAACGACATTGGACAAAATATTCACCGTAAAGATCAATCCTGAATATGCAATCGAGAAGGCTATCATTGACGAAAGTGATACAAAGAGATTTCTTTAACTTTTGGAAAAAATGCAAGCATCAATTGATTCCTGGATCTGTAATGTTTAAAATATTACAAAGGTCAAAACAAATTTAATCACCCCTACTACTTTCCCTTTTTTCTACGCAGTTATCCATTATTATGTTTCGATTCTAAATGAAGGCACTGACAATTAGATATCAGTTACAATTCTCAATTCTTTCTTTCATTCCATTTCCAACTTATTATCTTGATTATAGCATTGTAGCACTCCATTTTGTGATGTAGCTTGAGTTTTTGCAATGAAAGATGATGAAAACACATGTCAAATTTGTATTTCAAATGCAAATTAATTGTGCCAGCCATTGATGTCTACTTTCGTGCATGTATCTTTCTTTCCATCTACCACATCAATTCATGTCTAAATACTTCTCTGATCTTTATCCTTTTTTTTCCTATCACCTACCATAAACCATCCACTTGTCAATATTTACCAAAAAAAAAAGAAAAATCAATCATTAGTAAGTACAATTTTTCATTCCCCATTGCTCAAATAAATATTTCCTTTTCAGTAAATTGTTGACATTTCAAAGCCATCAATAATTTTTCTAATTAATTTTAACAGCAAAAAGGGACAGAAAGAGTCAATTCCATATATAATTGTGAATTTGAAGTGATTTTTTTTCTCGCTAAAAAATAAATCTTTTTTTAGTGCTATGAATTTTGTTCACAAATATTGCACAGTATTGTAATGCGTGCAGTGCACAGCATCTTTTGATAATAAGAAAAATTGATCAGTTATTTGCAAGAAAATTTTTTAACTAAAGTTTGTTCAACATTACAATGCTGTTACCATAATCACTTAATACCTTGAATGGATCATTATTGTTTCAAAACAAATTTTTCCTATTAACTAACATTTCTCTTGAAAAACAACTCCGATTTTTTTAGGAAGCTTCCCAAAAAAATCACACAGCTATTCACACCTATAATAATCACTCATAAAATAGTTCATCAGTTTAACGGAAAAAGAAAAATTACTGCTCAACAATTTGGAATTCTAAGGTTAATGAATGAGTACTATTCAAAAAAAGAAAAAACTGCACTCATCCACATGCATATCGTGTATCTAAAATTCAATGCTCGCTTCGTTTTACTCACTGCGTGCTATATAAGCAAATGGAACACTTCAATTTCACTTGCGTGTGTCGCAAATCTTGATGACAATCGAATTTAAAAACAAATCCACTTCTATATCTAACACATTAATAATCTTAACCTGTTTAAAGAGGAACAGATGTTTGATACGCTATGACATACTCAATGATTTCTAGCATTCTAGCTTACTTTAATAATTCTTCGTTTTTGGTGGATATATAATTTTGGATTTGGACGGTTTAAATAATTCAATATATACTGAATTACTTAAACTGTCCAAATCCAAAACTATCTAATCTAATTAATCATTTTTGTCGCTCCCTGGAATTTTATTCCTTTTGTTGATAAAAAAAATCTCTGAAAAAAGGCTTTTGAAAAATAAGCCTTTAACTCTCCTTCAGTTGATTCAAGGCTGTGCATTTGAAATGAGCTAGCTTTTCCTTTGAATTCATATTTTATTCATTGCTACTAAAAAAAATTGCTTCTTCTATAAGGTGAAAATAATAGATGCTAACAGAAGAGTAGAACTCATATCTATTTGTCCAAAATCATTTAATTGTCCAACTTTCAGCTTCAAAAATTTGCTTAACTGGTGAAGATGACATGTGAAGTGGAAATCGGAAGGAAATAGAAAAATTTAATTTTAGATGAGAATTAATTCTGGCATAGTGAAATATCAATTTATGTAAATTAGCAGCATCTATAAAATTGAATCAGATGTTTCGAATCGGTATATTAAAATCTCATCGTCGTGACACTAAATCTAAGCCAGATTCAACATTTTGTTGAGATGTCTTATTATTCCACATTTTAAACTATTAGTTCAGTAGCTGAGAATCCCATTCCCCACTAATGTTTACTATTGTCAGAAGCTAAATTACTACATAACAACTTTAACAGTTTTATGATAATATTTATAGGTCAAAAAGACAATATAGGCTTCCCAAAATGATTAACTCACTTATGCTTAATAAGCATTTTTCAATAAGAGAAACAGAGATAGAAAGGAAAAATTATATATAATCCTTCTATATGTCCAAACTTGTCCTAAAAACATAGGAAGTGAAATGATTGGGACGATTAGTTCTAAGAAACAACAAATTAGTATTATTATTTCAAGAAAAGTGGGTATTATAAATTGCTCTCTCTAAAAAGATGGATGAGATGGAAAATTTAGTAAGCATAGAGTGAAATATTGTGGCCCTTGTCTCTTGACTTAACTTTATTCACAGTTATCGATCATGGCATAATTTATTCAATCATGGCATAATTTAGCATCCACACTTTGTCATACTTTTCCAATTCGAGGGGATAAAATGTGGATGCTTAATTTTACGTCAATATTTCTCCTGCCGAGGCATTTTCTGACCTGACATCCATTTCATTTCCTGACTATATGTTTATTCGATATTATTTAAAAAGTCATATAGTAATGTTCCATCTCTCTTTCCACTTCTTTTCTATATACTTACTGATCACATGTCTTGGAATTTTAGATACTTATTTGACTACTTGACAATGACTATTTGAATTGAAGTCTGCACCCTTACTTTTTGGATAATCCGAAAAACCATTACCGGAAAACTCTTATTCATCAGTTTTATTCTTCGTTTTCAATAGATAACACTAAAAAGGATAGTGGAAAAATAAGCAGAATAATGCCATTATCTCATTTTTATAACTTTTGCTAGCAGTAGAATAACTTTTTATATTTAAATAATACTAACTTATCGAACAATATCCATCAAATATAAAATACATGGTTCATTTTTTTTCTTTTCGCTTAACGCAAAATACGGACTGCTGAAAAAGGAAGAAGGAAGAAGTAATCTGGAATACGTGTTTTACATAAAACGATAGATTTTTCCTGATTAATTATAAATGTATACGTATTGATGAATAATGGTGAACAATATATAAAATTAATTCCTTAATTTTAATACGGTTCAGTTGAAGGAAACATAGCAAATTTTATTTCGAATTCTAAATATCTTTTTTATCTGTTTGCACTAATTATTCCAAATAATTGCTCATAAAACTGTTCGCTTCTAAGGAAATGCTGAACGATAAAAAAAACAAATCGCAAAACATATGAAGAAGAGAGATATACGGATAGCGTGAAAGTAAAAACATCATTAGTAGAAGAAAGAATAGATTGAAAACAGATGAGACTAACAAAGGATAGATTGCTCTCAATACCCGGCTATTCATTTACAACAACCTGGAAGTTCTAGAGAAGTTTTACTGGTTATATATTCATTTAACTCTTCGCCATTACTTTTCATCTGTTAAATGAAAAATTCAAATTTCTTATTGCATTATTTACAAATATTCACAAATGCTATTCTTCCGTCATCAGTAAACAACAAATCGTTTTTCGAATTTGTTCGCATAATAACGGCATGAATGTGCGTGAAATTATGATTTCTTTCAGCTTAAACTATGCTGTCTTTGTGATGGGCATTCTAGCTATTATTATTTTCTGTATTACGGAATTAATAAAGCACGGCACATCGATGACAATCAATATTGGTGATCCTCAAAAAATGGTACATAGCAGTTCTGAAGAGCAATTGATCCTTGAGAAGCTTCTCAAAGATTATGATCAACGTGTTCGTCCACCACCAACGAATAGTTCAGGTATAATTAAATGCTCAATTATTGCTTTGGCAAAACAAATTTATGCGTCAAGCAATTTATATATACATTGCACCATCCTTTGTGCTACACCATCTTTATTTCAAAATTTTAGTGAGAAATAAAGTCCTGCAATTATTAGAATATACTTAAAATAGGAGCTAATAAAAACTGACTTAAAACATCCCCTACTTATCTAATCCATTCTAAATTTTTCCAGGCCTTAGTAATGCACTTACAAGAGAACTGTAATCCAACAATCCTTTATGAAGATATTAGCTTTACAGTTACAACTAAGTAGTCTTGACATTAGAATAGGGAAAAGTTTTCAAATAACAATAAAACTTTTATTGACCCACACAATTTCATATTAAAACTTTTCTTCGCATGCTGAAAAAAATAAGATTGGCAGAAAAAAGTAAAATATACGAAGTTCTTTTCATTTAAATTGAAATCAGTTCAGCCAGAAAACAGATAGGTCACCACGCAAAACAGAAAAAAAGCATAGCTGCAGAGATTGGATCTCAAGTTTTGTTTTTTTCCTACAGCTGAGGAAAAAAAATTTTTGGGGAAAATTTTCCATGAATTCTTTATTTTCATGAAAATAAAAATTTTCATGATAAGAAAAAAAATCTTATTGTGAACAGTATTCAAACAGATTTCCTTATTTTTTCTTCTATATGCATTCTTTCTATTATCATATTTATCAGTTGTTGATGAATGTTAGCATGTTAGTTGATGTTGAATATTGTTGATGAACTGAATATCGAATGTTGATGAATATTAGCTAGTTGCTTGATGAATAATATTAGCATTGAATTCTGCTTCAAGTAGATTCTCTATTGTTTCTATGTTTGCTGCTTTGCATTATTTATCAAAACAATTGTTTTATCTTAATATTCTTCCCCCTGGAACAATTCATGGGCAAATCTGAATTCTCATTAAACTCAAAATTCGTAAAATAAAATTTTGGATCCGTCAAAACGCTCTTCAATCTATATTTTTCGTATTTTATGCATAACTGTGTATTCTGTTTACTGAATCTTAGGAGAACATAATATCAACTAAACGCTGAACAATGAAAGCCGGAAACATTTCGATTCTAAATTTGAAGTAAAAAGATAGATGCCCAAATATTATTTTCTTATAAATGTTTGTCGTTTTTTATTTTTCAGCAGCTAGTGGACCTGTCATTGTTAAAGTAAACATTATGCTACGAATGTTAAGCAAAATCGATGTTGTAAATATGGTATGTCTTTTCTTTTAAAATTGCTTTTTAATAAAATCAAAAACAAATGCCAAAAATTGATACAGTTAACAAATTAAAAAAGCATATTAATATGTTCATAGAATAAGGAACAATTAATTTTGACAAAACTAAAGTTCTTACATTCTTACAAATTAGAAAGTATTTAGAAACTGAAAAGATATTAATTTGAAAAATGTTAAATATTACTGAAAAAGAACATTTTGCTTCCAAAAATTATCAAAGATATGTTGCAAAAGTCTTTCACAATCTCTAGGAAATGTTCGAAGTTTAAAAAGATACAAGGTTTGAAACAATGCATTTAGAATACTTAATAACGTATTTAAAACTATCGCAACTTCAAAAATCCCTTTTATTTGAATTAATCTACTGTTCAATATTTTTCCAACCTATTGCTCATTAATTCTGATTTTACTCGGAATTACAAATTCTATAAGTAATTACAGGAATATAGCATGCAGATAACGTTCAGAGAAAGATGGCTAGATCGTAGGTTAGCTTATGAAAATATGCACATCACCAATATGCCCAATTTTCTTACGGTTCCTTATATCAAAAACAATATTTGGATGCCTGATTCATTTTTTCCGGTAAGTAAACAAGTAAAAAACTTCCAAATATTTTTTTTCCTCCAAAAAATGATTTAAAAAAATTACAAACATTTTTTTCCAAAAAAATGATTCTAAAAATGTTTCTTAATTCATCTGAGTAAATAAACTAGTAAAACTATCTTAGATGTACGTACTAATTTGAGGGATCAAGGAATTATTTCAGACAGAGAAGGCAGCACATAGGCATCATATCGATACAGAAAATATGTTCTTAAGGATATATCCAAATGGACAGATACTATACAGCGTACGGTTATCACTAACACTATCATGCCCGATGCATCTACAACTTTATCCTCTCGATGTGCAATATTGCGATTTCGATTTAATCAGCTATGCTCATACTGTTACCGTATTATTTCCTTTCTACTCAAAAATCATTTTTGAATTAATGTAACTAATTTAAATGTTAATATACTTTTGATAAAGAGAGGAAAGTTTTTTTTCTTGTGTATAAATTATATTGAAAATCATTTGGTCCAAGTTAACCATTTCATCCAAAAAAGACCTTCCAAATTAACTGGCTATCATAATTTCTTGCTTGTATAACAAGTTTGTTAATAAGCTCAACGATATGTATTTAATGAAAGCAAAAACAAAGTTTTCTAAAATTTTCCATTTATATCTACAATTTTCACTTTATTTAGAAAGCAGCATAATTAATAAGAAAAACAATAGTAGATAATAACGTCATTGAAAATTTCAAAATATTAAAAAGTCGTAAAAAAGAAATATAAAATTCACAACAAGGAAACAGAACAGAAAGTATTCGATGGAAAGTTTCTTCTGATATGAAAAATTTTCGAATTTTCAGGATATTGTGTATGAATGGGAAAAAGATGGAGGACCGCCAGTACAAAGAAAACCTGGTGTCGGCAGTGACTTGCCTAATTTTTTGCTTACAGCGATAGAAACTAACCATGAATGCACCAGTCATACTAACACAGGTATTCCCACTTTTGTATTTGTTATAACCGAAATATTACGGCGTAGTCACTATTAGTTTGTAATACAATAGTACCTGACGTGACCATGCATCATGTACTATTGTATTACAAGGAGCTTCATGATAGCATCCGTGAAATCAGTCCTTTCACCAAGCCTACGTGTCAAATCTTAATGTATTAGCTATAACTTCCTCCCGTTAGCTTGTGATCCCAAAATATATGGTATCTTTTTTTATTCCTTAATACAATCTACTTGTTTCCTTCTTCCTTCTTTGCAAAATAATAAAGTGCATTGGCGGGTTTTGTGGAAATTTATTATCTTAAGAAAAGTTAAGACATATGAAGTCTAATTGTTTGGAAATCTGATATTATGCATTCCTGAAAAGATTCATGATTATCTTCGGAACTTCAGGGACCTATGCTTGCTTAAGAATGCGTCTCGAGCTTTCGCGTCAATTCAGGTTGACTTTTTACTAATTTTGAGCTGTAGCCAGCAGATATAATTCTGGAACAAAGAAATAAGGTTTCTTAACTAATTCCTTATGTATTGGGTATAATCAACGAAGAAAACATGTTTATTCTGCATTTGTATACCAAAAGTTTCCAATAAAGGGGCCAAATCAAAATTTGCTTATTAATATACCTTAATATTAACTGCTCACTTAGAAAAAATCTTTCAGCTATTATTTAATCCAACTGTACGGTCCAACAACAATGATCGTAATTGTCAGCTGGGTTAGCTTCTGGATTGATATACATTCAACAGCAGGCCGTATTGCCCTTGGAGTCACTACCCTACTTACAATGACCACAATGGTAAGCTACTGCTTTTATGTATCGCGGAAAAAAAATTTTTGGTTGATTAAATATTGAAATTTGAATCAACTGCCAGTTTTACCAATTTATTATGCAATTATACTAGCTTCCTAAAATTTTTGTAAAGAGTTATTTCGTTAGCATTAAAATTTGAAGTTTTTAAACGCTTCGATTAGCCAAAATCCAAGTAAAGTTAGAACACTGTTATAGCTACCTAATCTTTTTGAAATAAAAAAAAAAACATTTCAGACGTCATCTATTAATGCAAAGCTGCCTCCAGTAAGCTATGTAAAAGTAGTGGACGTTTGGCTAGGCGGTGAGTTATTATCTTTTTTGCTCCCTAACATTGAATTCCAAAAATTTTTTCTTGGAATCAGCTGCTATATAGACAAACAATTTCCAAAAATGAAAATTCTTTGTAAATATATTGCGCACCAAAAACTTCATTTAAATTTGTGGAAGGGAAGAATAAATACATAACTTTCAGCTTGTCAAGCATTTGTATTTGGAGCACTTCTAGAATATGCTTTTGTCTCTTATCAAGATAATTGCCTTCAAGAGAAGAGAAATAATATATCAAGAAAAGGACGTCGAAGAATTGATAAACGAAGCATTGAAAATCAACAAATCTACCAGCAGCAATGTACCTGTTATTTGGTGAGCTGATAAGACTTCTACTGAGAATCAAAAGCAGAAATAGAAATGCTGCAAATCTGAAATCTCAATTTAAATCTAAATCTGAAACAAATTCTCATAAAGCGATAATCTGTTAGCATGTTGAAATTTGAAACTTCATGAAGATAATAAACACAACTACAAGGAAATGAAATGAGGAATTGAAAAAGGGAGAAAAGCTGAACTTCCGAAAACCCGCAGATCAACTTCCCATTGAGATTAAGTATCTTACGAAACTTTACTATTAAAGAGTTAACTTTTTTAGAAATATCTGAATATAATATCTCTTGCAGTTATCAGTGCATTCACGTGAAAGGGTGGTGGATCGTATGAAGCAACTTTTCATGAGGCCCACTTATTTTCCGGCTAAAATTGATTTCTATGCTCGATTCTGTGTACCGATTGCATTCACTATATTTAACGTTATTTACTGGACAGTGTGTTTTGTGATGACTTCTGAATATGGCCCCAAAAAATGATTTTCATAATCGATTTTTTATGTAGTAAATTCGTAAAACTAATAAATGGAACTAAAGAAAATCGAAACCTGATTGAAAAAATTGATGGTTCTATCTAGAAATACTTCGGAAATAATTTTCAATATCAAGTTTATTGTTGCATAAAAAATTCTTTCTTGTACTTCTAGCAGAGAGTTAGAAATTACCCGTTTATCTTTATTGAAAATATATAGTTATCTATCTTGAAATTATGAATAAAGATGGTTAATACGTTACTTTATTGCATAAGCTCTTTGATCAATTACTAATTTGGAATCAATCAACTAGTACTACAATAAGAAATAGATAACACTAAAAAACGAATATACTTTAAGATGCGAAAACGCCCAAGATTTCTCTACGTAACCGATTTTTTTGTATGATCTCTATCATACAAAAAAATTGGTTACCAGATATTACGTTCCGATATTTATCCTTCGGACTTTGATCAGCACTCAGTAATGAGGCGGTGGATAAAAAACAAAATAACAGAGAAAGGAAAGATCATGGTAATAACAATAACACGATAACTACCATATCAAACATCTCCCGACGGCAATCTTAAATTTCACCATTTACAATTTATGAGAATGCAAAGCAATCCTTTAACCAAATCAGTTCAATGAATAAGGCAGTTTTTCATTTTTTTTATTTCTTCAGAATAAAGCTATTTTTGACTGATCATACTTGTTCTACCTACCAACTAAGTTTTATTCTTGTTCTTACTAAAAAAAGAATTCTGTTCTTTTTTTAGTAAGAACAAGAATAAAACAGCACAAACATTTGATTGTAATATATTAAAAAAAGGTTTCTAATCTGAGACAAGAAATACCTGCATACGGTGGCCATGCAGTCACGACACCACCACCAACAGTCTCTCTTTTCACCACTTTTGCTGTTATGGCTACTAATACCTTCTGTCAAACTTTCATTGCCACTGGCACAATTTCCATATTCATCATTTGTAAATGGTGCACTACAATCATGGCACTTCATTACTGTTGATTTCGTTATTGTTGTTGTTGTTGCTTCTGATATCGATGTCATCATGTCAACATTTCTAATCTTTCTAGTTTATTAATTCCATTTGTCGGAATCAAAATGAACAACTTTTGGGTTTGGTTAATATATTTCCAGCAGTATCTGCAAACATAAAGGGTTACGCGGTTTTCACGGATATAAAAATGGCATAGTGGCTGTTCAGAGTATTGTTTTCAAACAAAATTATGAAAATATAGGAATCAATTTCTGGATCGAAGTCTTAAATCTTGCTGTAAGATCAATTTAGAACGAAAATAATTTTGATCAGTGAAATGATTTTGTTCGAAAAAATTCACTGTGTTCACGTATTATTTGCTGCATGAATTTTTAAGAATTAATCTTGAAATTCGTTCGTTTTAAATAAAAGAACAAGTAAAATGTTACTAAGCTAAGTAAAACAAAGCCAGTGCTTTAATACCAAATCCAACCATCACGTATGTTTTCTGAATGATTTACCAACATCACATTTGTAATAGCAAGAAAAAGATATGAATAGGAAATCAAAAGACATTTTTTTTCGAGGCGTAAGCTTTGTTTAAGTTCTTTAGATAAAAAAAAAAGAAAATCAAGTAATGAATGACTGAATATGTTACGATCATCAAATTATGCATTAAGTACTTGAAAAATTTTAGTTTCTTTTTGACACTTTAAAAACGAACTAACTTGCTTGAACAGATGAAAGGATAAATCGGATCAAAAGAATGAGAAAATAAACACATGTTAATAAATAAATGTGAATGAAATTTTTTAGAAATTAGCTCAGAATAAAAAGGATTCCGAAAAATATTCAATCCGGAAAGGAAAACAGCCCTTTTCAGAGATCCTGGAACTGAAGAAGTTGAAAAAAAGAATAGCAAAGTTACCACGCATTTCCCCACTATCAACCGCCAAAAAAGCGCAAATAAAATCTTACCTGTGAACAACCTTTCTTCACAGAACGCGCTTTGAAATTTGATACGTCTCAATCTTTCTTGGCAATTTTATAAGATCAGAAATTTTATTAATTTTATTTCTCATATAATTTTTTTTGCTAAATTCGAAAATATCATGCTGTTGCAATTGATTGCAAAGTTATCTTTCAATTTTTTTATCTGATGGATACTATGAATACTATAAAATAAAGTCAAAATTTATTCCAAAAGCTGTACATAAATTATTCTGCCATAAGAGTTAAATGTAATATCAAAAAATGCAATATTATAAAACACAGCACAGTATCATTTCATAAGGTAATACAAAATAAGACTCATTACGCGAAGTATCCACTTCAAAAAACACAGGAAGGAATGAAGAAGGAACCAAAAATGATGAATAAAGAATAAACATTTCCCCACATCATCTGAATAAGAACAAATGGAATGTTTTTAATTTTCCAATCAATCAAGAATCAATAAACAAAAAGAGGATAAGATTAGAAAAGATTAAAAATATACTTTTGGAACAAGAAATTCGATAAAAATCTAAATGAATCTGAGAACAATAGTAGTGACATCGACTTGCTACTACTACTTGTACCTAATTCCCTAGACTGCCCATTCCATATTTCTCAGATGTCTCAACTTTCAAATTGTTATGATAGTTTGCTTATTATCATCTCGAGATTCTCTTCCCAAATGATGAAATAATATTTTATGCAATGCTGAAAAAGATATTAAATGCTGACCTACGAAATTAACGAAGAACGAGAAAAAAATTTTCGAGGTGATACAAATTTATATCATGTATATTGGATAAAAGATGAACACTCAAAACGTTTTGTATCGCGCAATATACGAAATAAGAAGTGATTCTACTGAACAGTAAAGACTGTAAAAGCCGAAATTATAACTGAATGAATGCAGATAAATAAATGTTTAATTATAGATTAAAAGTGCTGCTGAAGATATCACAAATTATAATAAATTCAAGGGATAAAAGAAAATCAATAGTCGATTTCCTTCTGCCTCGAATGAGAATGATAACAAGATAAAAGTTCGTGACAGCGTA